GGGGAGGGGAGGGGGTGGGCTGGGGGCGCGGGAGCGGAGCGGCGGCGCCGGCGCGGCAGCTCGCGCGACCGGCCGTTGCGAGCCGGTGACATGCCTGTGAGCTGCCCCAGGTGAGCCCACTGCGGATCCGCCGGCGGCGGCGTGTGGGGCCGCGATGGATGCAGCGGCCCGGCTTTGGCGTCCCAGCCTCCGCCCGTCCGCAGCCCGAGCTGTGACTTCAGGGCTGCCCAGAGCTGCGCCTTTGCTCGGCAGTGGGAGGAGGGCGGCGGCGGCGGGCGGAGGGAGGAAGCTCACGGCACCGGGCCGGGGCGTGGGGGTGCAGTCGGGTTCCAGACCGGCCTTCCTGGGGTCCCGAGTGTGGCGGCGGAGCCCCTTTGAATGACAAGTCCGGGTTCCATCCCCAGGGTGGCCTTCAGAGCCGTGTCCCCGCGGTGTGTGGCGGTGCGTGGGCTTCGTTTGTGTTCGCGCTGCGCGCGCTGGAGCGTTTGCAGGAGGAGGAGGTTGCACTTTGTCCGCGAACAGCATCCTTCCACTGCCAGAACCCCTGAGCTCTGGAACAAGATGCAACCCAAATCTTGTGACAGACACGGAAGGCGTCAAGCAGCCCCTCAGAGTGTTGTTATTCATATTTGCTGTCCATTTTCCTCTAAGGCTGCTAAGTGGCGTAAATGCTGGCCATCCATATTCTGAGTGGATTCAGTGTATGTCTGTTATTCCAGGCACCTTAGCTGCCATAATATACATATATATATATATATATATATATATATATATATATATATATATATATATATATATATATATATATATATATATATATATGACCAAAGTATAAAAAAGGTTGGCAAAATGAGTATGGCAGCAGAATCCAAACCACCACCGTGATATGACTTAGTAACAGTTCTTTTCTTCTGCGTTCCATCTCCTCTAAAGCTTGTTGAACTGGAGATGGTTTAGCTTCACATGCTAAGGAAATCGCAGTATGAGGACTACTGCTGAGACATAGCTAACGGCCTTAGTGCAAACCGGTGTTAAAGATTCCGGTTGTCTTTTCAGCTTTGTAGTTATTCAATCCCTTGCAAAACACGTAAAACCCGTAAGCAGGCCTTAGCTTCTTCCCACCTTGTTAGGAATGTTATATTGATTGATACTGACTTTGCTATGTTTGGAAATACTCAAAAAATGTAGAGTACTCAGAAAATAGAAGGTACTCCATAACGCAAAGATGGTTTTAATGTCTTATCACTTTAGAGTAAGTGGCAGCACAGTTCCCAGCATGATTGGTGTCATTTAAAATAGTGCAATTTAATGAATCTTTTTAAACACACAGTCACGTTTTGCGAGGAGTACCCTGGTTGTTTATACTTTTTATGTTCCTTCTGGCGGTACTGACAAGGGACGTTGACAGTGAATTTCACTGCTGTAGCTGTAACAACAGTTTATGAGAGATCAAAGAATGTAGGGCAGTCAGAAGCAATGGGTTCCCAGGCTGAACTGGTAACTGGTGATTAGTGTATGTACCCATGTAACTGCATTATTGATAAGGTCCTAGCAGTGTACTCGTAGGCCAGTGTTATGTCCCGTTTGTTGAGGACATGGGACTTGCCACAGACCCTTAACCACAGTGAGAAATTCTCTAGCTTCCGAACTCTGGGAGTAAGTTTAGAAGCTGAAGAGATCTTCTTCGCCTTTAGAGGCTGGAAGGACACACATATATAATATGTGAATATGTAATGTATATATATATATATATATATATGCATATATGTATATACACACAAACATACACATATACACATACATATATTAATTTTTTAGTTCTAGGAACTTACTGCCTGGAAAAGGAAATCAAACCCAATCAGATGATACATTATAGCTCATGATTAGGGAAAATTTCAGTTATAAACGAGCAGTGGAGTTCTGTCTATACTTGGAGAAAATGTGAAAAATTTATTAAATGTCTTTTTGAGAATGGGCAAAAGAAACCAATCTAGATTTAAAAAGTTCCCTTCATTCCATTTTGGCAAACTGATTTTCAGGGATAGAAAAATAGATTTTTTTTTTTTGCTGGTCTTTATGACCCTTTGGCAAAGGTTTCAAGCTTTTAGGATGTATTAATATTTGTTCATCTGTCTTGCCTTTGAAAAGTAATTGAAGTAACTCTGGGTAGGATAATTATTTTGGTAAAATGAATTGGTTCTTTTTCTGTCAAGTGGCCTGCCTTTTAGTAATAAAATCAACCACTTGGAACGAGGGACGGGCACAGGTAGGGGAAGATCTCAGCTTGGCTTGGGCTTGAGTTAAGGGTGTATGAACTAGTAAAGTGGGGAAAGGAAAGAAAAATACTTTATCCGATCCAAACATCTAAATGTGTTCATCCTGTCATGTATCTTTATATATAAAAGTTCATTGTATTTTAAAATATTTGTTAGAAGTTAAGGCATTTGAAATATATAGATTAGAGACTGGGAAGGATAAAAGTTAACGTTTTTGGATTAATCTGAGAATATTTCATGGGGAAAAATAAGATATATGATGTAGTGGCTGGAAACACAGAGGATGTTACTTGAACAAAATGAGGTATAGCGTGAAGAGTTTGCGTTTTGGGGTCTGGCATATCTGTTAATAGTGCTGAGTCTCTTTTTTTCCTCATCCTGAAAAGAGTTCAAATATCTCAAACAGTTATTGTGAAGTGCATAGTAACTGCTTGCTCAGTGTTTTTTCTTTGACCTTTTTTAATGGCTTGAGGATTATTTGGCTGCAAGAAATAAACACCTATTTGAATTACTTAAAACAAGGCATTTGTTGGACAGTTGGAGGGCTGCCTCTGGAATCTACAGTCTGAAGTCCAGCTTGGTGCCCCGGGAACCAGAAATTCTTCAGGCAGTTGCTCTTCCAGTTTACTCTGGGAACACATGGCCTTGTGTCGCTGCTGCTCTGTGCTGTTATGTCCCAGTTTTTTTTCAGGCTGTCCCTATCTTTAAAGCTCTTGGTTTCTGCTTCCCCATAACTTTGGTTTGTCATGGAACTTTGGTGTGTCATGGTGCCTATGCCAGACTCATTGATTTTGCAGTACGGTACTCAGCAAATACCTCCATATCTTAATTCTGCATTTCTGGGGAGAGAACCTGATTGGTTAGGTATCTCTACTTCTAGTCCAGTTGGCTGAGGTTGGGGGAAGATGGGAATGGGAAAATGGACAGAGAGGAGACATAGGTATGTCCCACAGTTTACTTTTTTAGACTGGGTACCACAAGTTCTCTAAGGAAGGGGTAGTGGGCAGGGAGGAGATGAAGGCTTCCCCTGGTGTAGGTAACATCCTGCAGTTGGAGTTTTTCCCTATTTGCACTGAACTTGATCTCAGCAGTGTTCTTTTTCAGGACGGATTCTCCTAGGTGTGTGAGTTAGGACGAATTCCACAGCCGTTTTGTGCCTCATTATCCTTATCTGTAAAATGGGTATGATGACAACTTCTGTTGTGAGAATTGTGAATTCTGTCTGGCAGTAGGTGAGCAGTGCCTGGCTGGCACAGGGTCTATGATTACTGAGTGTGTACTCTGTGGCAGGTACTGGGATACGGGCTCCTACAGCATTCCGAGATGAAAGAATGTCATTTGAGATGAAAGAAAGTCATTTCCGCCCTCAGGCGTTTCGAAGTCTAGTGCTGCCACTCCATACTGAAAACTATTTCTTGACTTCAGTGACACTGAATTATTTTAAATCTCCGTCTCCCCAGCTTTTCCGACTGCTGCTTGTTTGTGGCCCTTTGCTACCTGCCCAGGATCCCGTAAGCATGTTTGTTCCCTTAGATTCTCTCTTGGTCCTCTGTTCTTGCCCAGTCTCTAGGATAAGCTCTTAAGCTCTGTACATACAGATGATTCCTAGAGGAACATTTCTAGCTTTTGACCACCCCAACTAAATGTGGGTTGTTTAGGTGCCTTTTGGATGCTGTATTGACGTAAAACACTGTCTCCCAGCTGCGCTGTAATTGGCATAGGCACCACTTTCCCTCTAGCGCCCTAAGCGTGAAACCTTAAAATCATCTTTCACACTCTTCCTTTTTTATGCCTTTTATATCTTGTCAGTTCATAGGTTCTGCATGGGCTCCTAGGATGGCCCTGAGGTGCCCAGCCCCGGGCCGTTTCCAAAGCTGAGCCGTGCATTTATTCCTGCCATGGCAGCTTGGGGTAGAGCCTTGTTATTAATACTATTTGCAAGAGCTGCTGAAATGCCTTTTCAGCAGCATGCTCTCAAGTCATAGAGTCGCAGACGTGACTCATGAAGAGAAATGTGTTCCTGAGTTAAAACTCTGAACATATTTTTGGTTAAAAATTGGCTTGTAGATGGAGGTTATGTATAAGATTAAGAACATTGTTTCAAGTTCTAGGCAGCATATTCACATGGAAAGCACGGCCTCAAGATTAAAGGTGGTTTTTAAATTTTTTATTTTAAAGTTATGTTTCTTATTGGTATGTAGGGAGTTTGGGAGTCAGCAGTTCTCACTTAGCACTTTCTCAATTAGGCCCATGTTATTTTAAATATCAATTACTGGCAAGGTTCAAACACACTTTAGGAGGAGAAGTAGATTCCAACCTGGAAAGACAGTAACTTTTCTCCATCGAAGGCTTAAGAAGCAGATGGCAGAACAAATATGCCTGGATTGATTTGTCAGCCAGTCGTTAGGTAGGTGACCCCAACTCTTCTCTATTTAAAGTGATCCCTCTTCCCACCAAATGTCCCTCTTAAACGCATATCCTTGATGAAGTTTTCCTTTACGTTACAGCTTGTTCCACTCGGTGAATATGTGCTTGTGTGTTATGGGGAAGGCCCTTGGGGAGCGCCGAGATGAGTAAGGCATGGCCCTAGCATGGGCGCGCCATGAGAACGGGGACTTTGCACTGTTGTGTCCCAGTCATTGTCACTTGGACAGTTGGTGAGGATGGGAGTTGGATGTTGTCAGTACTCACAGTCCTGTGCAGGGTGTCCACTCGTACAATGTGCCTGTTACACAGGGACTGTAGTCACCAGTGTTAAAATAAAGCAGTGGCAATTTGTGCTCCCCGCCACCCCCCTCCCTGATAGTTGGCAATGTTTGAAGGCTGTTTGGCATCTGGTGACTGGGTAGAGAACGAGGTCGCCACTAAATGTCTGACAATGCACAGGACAGCCCCCTACAACAAACACTTATCTGACCCTATATGTCAATAATGCTGAGATGGAGAAACCCCTTAGAGGTACAAACAAAACATACTGTGAATGCAGGAATGCCCTTGACTCGGGATTAAAAAGTAGCCATCAGTAGCTGTGGGGTGTTTAGATTCTGTAAGTTAAACAGCAAGTCTGTACCCAAGGAGGGAGCTAGCATGTGAGTGCCTGTCGTATCCGGTCCTGTGTTTGCATGTATGATTTCATTGCATGCTGACAGCCACCCTGTGACGCTGAGCCTTAGTTTCCTCATTTGCAAAAGGCACAGCATCACCTCCACGCCACTGTTTGCTCATTAGGTATTATTTTGTTTTATGTTTTTAGTAGTTGCTCTGGGGTCTGCAAGATAACATCAATATCACTTGTCTTATAGCGTAGGACCTTACAACAGTATTTTTTCCTCTCCCACCCACCATATCCTGTGTTATTTTGTCATACATTTTGCTTCTATGTATGTTGTAAACCCCAAAACACATTATTTTTATTTGAATGGTTATGTTTAAAAGGCATTTAAAAAAGGAGAAAACATCTTTTCTATTTCCTTCATGTTTACCATTTTAGGCACTCTGTTTCTTCAGTTAGGTCCACATTTCTGTCTCATAATGTTTGTCCTTTGCCTGAAGAATTTCTCTCAACAGCTATGTATTCTAGTTACGGTTGGCTAGTGATGAGTTCTCACAGCATTTTTCAGTTTGAATAAATTTATCTAGAAAGATATTTTCATTGCATTATGGATATTTTCATCAGGTTGACATTTCCCTCCCTTTCTGTACTTTGCTCTGTTGTCTTATTTTATGGCTTACATAGTTTCTGATTAGAATTCTGCCGTCCTTCCTTGTTTTGTTTTGTATGTGATGTATACTTTTTTCCCCTCTGGTTACTTTTAAGATTTTCCTCTTTATCACTGGTCTTCAGCAGTTTAGTTATGATGTGCCTTGGTATGGCTTTCTTTATGTTTATTTTTCTTAGGACCTATTGATTTTCCTTGGATCATTCAGTTGATGATTTTCATCAAAGTTGGGAAATTCTGGGTCATTTTGCCCTCCACTGTCACACTTTGGGATTCCAGTACCTTTGGACTGACTCACTGATGCTGGGTTTGTTTTTGTTTTCCTGTTGTTTGTTTGTGTTTAAACAACTTCTGTCTGTTCTTCATATAGGATAGTTTCTATTGCTATGTCTTCAAGATCACTGAGCTTTTCTCCTGTGGTATCTAGTTGATGTTAATTGCATCCAGTATGTTTTTTATGCAGTGTATTTTATTTTCATCTCTAGAATTTTAATTGGGCTCTCTTACATCTTCTATGTCTCTTATGTTTTCCTGTCTTCTCGAATGTTTGGAACATATTTGTAGTATAGATTTTTAATATTCATTCCATCATCTCTGTCTTTTCTGGGTATGCACTTACTATAGTGTCGTATTTTTTCTCCTGGTTGCGAGTCATATTTTTCTCCTTTGCATACCTGGTCGCCTGCACTGTGTGCCAGCTGTTAAGCTTTATGCTGTTGCTCTCGTGACTATGTTATGTTCCTGAGTGTTGGATTGTTGGGGTGCACAGTTAACTTATTTGGAATCGGTTGGATTGTTGCGAGGCTTGCCTTTCGCTTTGTTCGGGCGAGTCCAGGACAGCCTTCACTGTATTGCTGACCTGGCCCTCCAGCCGACGCGTTTCTATCGGAGGAGTTCATCCGTTGCCCGATATATTGCTAGGTGCTTCTCTGGTTGGGGGGAGTGCGCACCATCCCAAGTCCTGTCTGGCTCCAGGGATTCTTTTTGCCTACTGCTCTTTGGTATTTATTTCCCCAACCTCATACGCGGCACAGATCAGTATTCAGCCAAGGGCTGTGGGGGACCCATCTGCACATTTCTGCAGCTCTCGTTTGCCCTGAGCGCTCCCTCCCGCACGCTGCCCTACAGAGTCCAGGCTCTGAGCGCCGTCCCTGCTGGGTGGCTGTGCCGGGCTGCTTGGCGCTCCTCTCCCTGTGGACTCACCTGGAAGGAGTCGGATCAGGTCTAATGTTGTCTAATGCCTGAAGACCAATTTTTATGTCCTTTTTTTCTTGTTTTGTTATAGTTATATTCAACATAATATTAATTTTTGACATTTGGGGTTTGTTCAAAATGTATATTTGGAGCATTTATTATAAATATGTTCCTAAATACTATAAAATTAGAAATTACTGTAAAGTTTTAATTGTATTTTCTCAAATAATTCATTAAATGTAGAAGCACCCATTTAAACATTTAAAGGCACACTTTGTACTTTAAAAGGATTACTTTTTATTTATTAATTTGGCAAATGTTTGAATGCCTACTGTGTTAGAATACAAGTACAATAAAACTTTTGTCCTCAAGTTGCTCACAGTAGGAGGGATGCATGCAAACAGTGACACCAAAAGAAAAAAGGACAGACTGCTGGGGGAGCTTAAAGGACGTGGCTACTGTTTGGGCCAGCAGGGACAGTGACAGCCACGCCTTCCTCACAGAGGGAGGCCCTTGGGCTGATGCATGAAGAATCCGTAGGGCTCAGCTGATGTGAGGAAGGGCAGATTTGAGGGCCCTTCAGGAGGATGGGTCCGGGCTTGGTGATGAACCAGAATAGACCTGGGAGTCTGTAGAGATGGAAGGAAAGGCCAGTTTCTAGCTTGGCTTACTGGACCCGTTGGTTACTAGCTCTAACTGACACAGAGAGACAGGAGGAGATTGTTTAGAAAGAAAGTTTCATTCAGTCTTTGAACATAGTAATTTTGGAGTAACTGGGATATTAATCACAAGTACCTAATAGAAAATTGAGCATAAGGAACTGACTCAGGTGCAAGAACTGAACTGAAGATACACTTTATGGAGTTATTTCCATAGTTAAAACCACACATAGAGATCAGATATCCTTGGAAAACTAAATAGAATGAGTACCAAAGAGGACACGGTTGGAGATTAGAAAATATTAGTATTTGAGTAACAAATTAAGAAAAAATTTAGGGAAGGAGACTAATGGAATGCCTAGAGAGATAGACAAGGGTTTCTCAATCAGAAATCATGTAGGGTACTTGATTTCTGGGTTCCACGTACGCCTCCTGAATCTGGAGTTTTGGGGGTAGGAGGAGATGTTAGAAGGAAACTGGTCCTTATGTGCACTGAAGTTTGAGAACTAGCACGGTAAAGAGCATCAGGGTAGGACAGTATTGTTGACAGAAGACTAGGAAGGCATTTCTGAGACTCCTTGGCTTGGTTAGCTCATGCTCTGAAAAGGCCAAGAAGTGGATGATGCTGTCTCGGACATTTCTTAGGCCAGAGGAGAGCAGGAAAGATGTGGGAAATCTTTTTTGTTATTATTATAAAAGAATTATTGGGCCGGCCGAGTGGCGCGTTGGTTAAGAGCTGGCTTGGGATACCAGCTCTGAGCAGCAGGGCCCCAGTTTGGATCCCACATGAAGGCCAGTGACACTGCCCTCTACAGCTAAGTTGGTGAACAACAGCTCCTCCTGGAGCCGGGCTGCCGTGAGTCGCTGGCGATGGCGTAGGCTGCAGCGGGGCTGGCCGGCAGCGGGTGTGAGCTTTCATGAGCTTTCGTGAGCTGCTGTGCGCGGCTGTCCAATGGCTTGCAAGTGACTGCCTCACCCAGGAAGAGCGCAATGATCACAATACCAACAAGGGCCAGTGAAGCGATGTCCTCCACAACTAGACTGAAGAACAAAAGGACAGCGACTTGTCTGTTCCCCTTCCTGATACCCCAAAGCTGTTCCCCTCCCCCAATTCCCCAATAAAATCTTAAAAAAGAAAAAGAATTATTCACACCCTTTCCCACTGTGAAGGAGCAGGTAGGCACCTCAGTGCTAGACTTTGAACGTTTGGATGTGAGGCAGCTGTGCTGCGTGGGCCTGGACGCCTTGCTTGAGTCCCCCTTGCCTCGCCTTTCTCCTTGTGGAATTGGAGGGCTGCTCTTCCGGTCCGAAGGAGTAAATGAGATGTAAGGTAACCAATCTCTCAGCAAGGCATTGGGTGCAATATAAGCTCTAGTTAGAACCCTAGACGTTCCAGGATTATCGTTTCTTTTCGTGATTCCCAGAAGTAGAATCCTCGTGTCCAAGTGGGAGCATTTTCAAGGTTTTGACATGCGTGGCACAAGTGCCCTCCAGAAAGGTGGTGCCAGGTCACTCAGGAGCTGAGTCTGAGTTTTGCTTTTCTGGAACCCTCGTGTTGACCTCTGTGTTGTATGTGTTACATGAAGTTTGAGGTGAGTCCATTTGTCTCTGAGAGCTCCTGGCAGTTGGAGAGTACTGGGTGGGGGGGGAGGGAGAGGGGGAGAGTGAGTTGGCCTGGGGCAAATAAAAGGATTAGTTTCTTGCTTTGGTCACATCAATCTTTACATTTACACTTCGTTTGGATCATTTTGGTCCTCTTGACCATTTTGTTCCATAAGCAGATATTTTAATTTTTCTTTTACGTATGTTTTATAGTTTCCAAAGTGCCTCCTATAAGTTTGTTTCCATTTGATTCTCACAGTAACTTGCTGGGTAAGCAGGCAGTATATACATGGAAGAAACCAATCAGAGATACTGCAGTTTACCCGGAGGAAACGAAGCGAATGAAAGAGAGAACAAGAACACGAAGGGTACTTGTCTGAATCCTGGGCGATCACTCTTTATCTTGTGCAGTTGGGACCTCTGTTCCTTTTCTCACAATCCTGTTTCAGTTCCAGCCATGAGTCAAATTTTATTGTTAAAGAGACCACTAGGGGTTATCTTAGTTCAGAATAGAATGCCATCATAATTCTTTGTCTAAAAATTAATCTAGAAATCTCTAAAGGGAGGTACGTGTGTGTGCACGCACACACACATCTCTATAGTATAAGAATTTAAAATTAGAAGTCCACTGAAATTTAGTTTTTTTGCAGTTCTGACGGGGACTAAGTTAAGTTTCGCTTTCTATATAAATCTCTCTGTTGTAAAATTTATATTAATAACCAGATGTCTTGAAAACTGCAACTAGGTAATTCTTGATAAGGCCAGTTTGATTGAAACTAACAATTTCTTAAATCTTTGATTCACATTTTTTAGTTATGTAGTGATTTAGAATTCAATCCCACTCCCACCCTTTATACTAATAACATTTTCCTTGAAGGCTCTGAACCTGAGAGAGCTATATTTACCTTGTTCACCTGTATCCATAGCATCTAATTAGCAAGTAGATTTTGAATAAATGGACCAGTTACCATGGTCAAATGTGGATATTGAGCGGTTAATGCCAATGTTGATTTAAGCTCTCAAAGGTATTTTATTAAAGCATTGATGAAAAGTTAAGACCTCGTTTTAGAGTTTATCCCAAGGGGCGTGTGTTTGAGTGTGTGTGTGTGTGTGTGTGTGTGCATGCATGTGCTTTTAAGTACTGTTCATCATTTAATCTGGATGCTTTTGAACTCTAGTCATTGATATGCTGTTAAGATTCCTACATGAGGAATTTGTTTCTGTTTATCTGATATGTACAGACTTCTAGTTCTTATTTGTATATTGTCAAACCTTTCTGCCAAGAAAGAAATATTCAAACAAGAAATAGGAATGTCTAGAGTGCTTACACTCTAGGGATAGAGTGACTTTTGGGAGGCAAGAAGGCTGGAAATCTTTTTGTGATGGTCTCTATTTTAGATTTTAAGAGGTTTTCAAATATTTCTTATTGATCCTTTCAAGTACAGCCTTATTTGTAATTTAAAAAGGGCAGTGAGATTGAATGATAAGGATAAGCTACTTTATAATAATTTTGAACCTAAAATTTGATTTTTGTAATAATTTGGTATCTCATTAAAGTACCAATATTCACATATTTTTCAAATGTTCATGTTGGATTGCTAAGTAAATTTTTATGGCTCTGAATTTTGTTTGTGATTGTTTTTTAGATGGTGGTATTTTAGAAGTATTTTATGACAAAATGCTTACCTGAGTCACTAAAATATTAATAAATGGTTTTCTTTTTATATGTGTTCTTTAGGTATTTTATGGATTAACTCTTCATTGATTATACAACAGCAACATAGTTATGGCGACCTTCCAGACTTTCAGAAACAGTCACATGAAGACGAGAGCACCTGTCAGAAAAGTAAGTTCACTGTATTAGATTACTTTTAGTGATAGTTTTAATGAAAATGTTGATTATTGTTCTGTGAAACAGCTATGATAGTCTTGTTTTTAAATTAAACTAATTATTGAAATTAGTAACATTAAAATACTACAAAGAGGGCTGGCCGAGTGTTGCGTTGGTTAAGAGCTGGCTTGGGATGCCGGCTCTGAGCAGCAGGGCCCTGGTTCGGATCCCACATGAGGGCGGTGACGCTGCAACCTCTACAGCTAAGATGGTGAACAACAGCTCGACCTGGAGCTGGGCTGCCATGAGTCGCCTGCAACAAGGGTAGGCTGCAGTGAGGCTGCAGTGGGCTGTTGTAAAGCTACTGTGAATGGCTAGTGGCCAGCGACCGATCTGCCTCACCTGGGAAGAGCGCAATGATAATACCAACATGGGCCAGTGAAGCAACGTCCTCCACAACTAGACTGAAGAACAAAAGGACAGCAACTTGTCTGTTTCCCTTCCTGGATTCCCCAACGCTGTTCCCCTCCCTCAATTCCCCAATAAGATCTTAAAACAAACAAAAAAAATACAGCAAAGATTGGCATATATGAAAATAGTGATAGGAAATCATGATAGTGAAACTTGTTTCCCCAATATTGCAGTACCTCCCCATTTCTTCTCAGTAGATAGTTTTCTACCTTCTTTTTAGTAATATAAGTATCAAATGTAAATTTAGCTCTACCCCAAAGTATTACCATTCATTCACTCATTCATTCAGCAAATATAAATGTTTCTTATATGGTCCCATGCTAGGTATTAGTCAGCAGTGAGCAGATTTCTTCTTTCTGTAAATTGTAGCGTAATCTGTAATTTTTTCAGATTAGCAATTGCACCCATAGCTTTAAATTGATAATTACATTATGTTGATTGCTTTATATAAATAATTAGAACTTTATATAAATAATAAGAAATATATATACGACATGTAGTAGTGAGCTAGTGACCTCCTTCTTGAGCATAGTACCACATACCTGTTTAAGTTGAATTTACGAATATATTCCTGAAATAAGGAATTAGGCCATAGCTGACATTTCATACTGTTATTTTAATGTCTTTTGTTATTTAGCACATTATAGTAGGCACACAATAAGAATTTGGTTTGAATTCACTTTTAGATAAAAGTATGTGAATCCAAATATTATGTACTGTTTATATGTATGTATGCACACACTTATACCACTTTTTATGCCTTTCCTTAGTATAGCTGAATGACAAAAACTTCCGTATTTGCTGATGTGGAAATTGAAAGGTGTACTTGAATTTTCTAGATTTCACTTTTGCATGAAAGATAGAGACACATTGACTATTTACTGGGAATCAAATATTACAAAAATCAGAAAGAGGTATACTTTCTACTCTATTAATTTTTTTCTAACAGTTTATTATCAAAAATTTTAAGCATATTGAGAAGTTAAAAGCATAGTACACCCACACATAAACCTGTATACCAAACACACATATTCATTAGTTGTTACTATTTTGTCTCATTTGCTCTGTGTGCGCGTGTGTGTGTGTGTGTGTGTGTGTGTGTGTGTGTGTGTGTGTGTGTTTGGCGGAACTATTTGAAAGTTAAACTCTTAATGACTTTTCATCCCTGAACACTTGAGCATGCTGCTCCTAGGGGTAATTGCCGCCTCCCACATAATAACACCGTTATCACATCTAAGAAAATGAAATATAATTCCCTTATGTCTCACACCCAGCCATGCTCAGACTCCCTTTATTACCCCTGCAATGTCTTTTATACTCTTCCCACCCACCCAGCTCCTATTTTGGATTCACTTTAGACTCTTAGGCCTTAGGTTGCATTTGATGGTTATGACGTGTTTACATTTCTTATGAAACGGTTTTAAAAATTTATTTTTCAAGTGAACATAACCTCAAGATTTTATCGTCTTCATAATAAAAGAAAAGCCAAAGCTTAGAACTGGATCATGAGGCCCTTTTTCTCTTCTTACATCCTCACAGATCACAATGCCTGCCCTTCTGAATAGCTAAGAGTCTCTTAGATGGGCACTGGGCTCAGAGCACTCAGGCCTCAGCACCTTCTGCTTTAGAGTTTGAGCCTTCTTCTGGAAAACTGGCTTAGTCTGCACCCCCAGCCACCCTGCTTCCTGCCATGGTGCTGCGTTCCCTCGGCACGCAGACGGTTCTTGCCCCCCTTCTACCGTGTCAGTGTGTGGAGTTGGTGCTTGCCACACTTGTTACAGAAAGCCTGGCAGGTTTGGGGAATGTTCACCATGTCTGTGAGAGTGCTGCCAGCACCAATAAAGCCTCTTTTTTTTTTTTTTTTTCCATATTCAAGACTGACGAGGCCCGTTTTTGTACCATGTTCCACATTCTGGATTTGTCTGGTTGTTTTCTCACAGTGCTAATTAACTTAGCTCTTTTCTGTGTTTCATATAAACTAGAATTTCAGGTTTTCCTATGATCAGCGATGCAAAAATTGATCAATTGTGTAAGGTAGGAGCTCTGCCAGGCTGTCCATTTTCTATTTTTTAGTTAGCAGATAATCTATGGGATGATAATTGATTGTGTGCAGATACCTTGTTTCTTCCCAGCAGCCTGTCACCTGATATTTTTGGCATCCTTGATGACCCCTTCCTGAATTTGTTATTTCCTAGAAGTTGCAAAATGATGATTTTCCTAATTTTATCTTTTGTTTACATTTATTAGCTGACATTCTTCTTTAAGAAAAGCTTTCTCTCATCAACCATAGATGAACTACAGTACCTCCTATAAAGGCAGGATAAATGTCCTTTTATTACCAATTTTCAGATGAATGATTTAGTGGAATAGCTGCCTCCAGTTGTGGCAAATGAGTTTATTTCCCCTCACTCATTCATTCATTTATTTGTATTACTCCGGATTCATGGATTTTAAAAATTCTGTATTTTCGAATCCTTTATTTGTAGTTATTTATTCATTCACTCGCTTATTTTAAGTTGCTCAGGTTGTTCCAAACTTGGGCCTAGGGAGCCCCTCCAAGCTGGTGCCTGTGTCCTTTGGTGTCAGGCTCAGAGTTCTTTGATTACTTCCGTGATATCTAGCACAACAGATTGACCCCACTTTCACTTTCTACTTTCCCTTCCTCAGACCTGAAATTGGCTGTTTCTTCAAAGAACCCTCAATAGTACTCAGGAGCCAAGATCTGGGTACTCGGAAGGCTCATTGCTTCTTCAGTGTCATGAGTTTATATTGATAGTTCAAGTTCAGATTTCACATTCCAGTTTGTTTTCTGAGTTCATGATCGTATCTTAGTCTGAAAAACTCCACTCATTCATGAAAACAGAATCATTTAAAAATTTGAATATTTTCAAGTCCACAAAAAAGTTGGGAACAAAACCAGTACAGTGAACACCATATATATATATATACTCTTCACTTAGATTCACCCTCTGTTAACGTTTTGCCATAACCAACCTATCTGTGTGTTTACACACACACACCCACACCCCCCACACATACATACCCCCCCCACACACACACTG